TAGCCCAGCCTGGCCTCGAACTCACAGAGATCTGCCTGCCTCTGCCTCCCAAGTGCTGGGATTAAAGGTGTGTGCCACCACCACCCAGCAAATTCTAAGTCTATCTTCAGTGAGGCATTTTGTTCTTTTTCGTTGTTGTTTTTGTTTTTCGAGACAGGGTTTCTCTGTGTAGTTTTGCGCCTTTCCTGGAACTCGCTTTGTAGACCAGGCTGGTCTCGAACCCAATCATCTTAAAACCTGGGCCTTAATGTGTATCACAAGAATGCTAAGCCTGCTGGGCGGTGGTGGCGCACGCCTTTAATCCCAGAACACAGGTGGCAGAGCCAGGCGGATCTCTGTGAGTTCCAGGCCAGCCTGGTCTACAGAGCAAGATCCAGGACAGGCACCAAAACTACACAGAGAAACCCTGTCTTGAAAAATAACAACAAAAACAAACAAACAAGCAAAAGAATGCTAAGGCTATTATAGGCCAAGCACATAACATTCCCTACAAGATAGATGCTTGCTTTCAACCTAACCCTCTTTCTGGCCAGCACTGTAAAGATGTAAATGCTTGCATATTAGTTTAGACACACATTCCCTTGCACAGTTCAGCTTTCCAGAACTTGATAGCATACATCAAAAGCCTTAGAAGGAGACCCTGACATCTGTTTTCATGAGCGCTCTGCTGGATAACTTCTTCCAGCCTCAAGTCTCGGTGGGATGCTTGGTTATCCTTGGGTCATGGGAGCTTCTGCCAGTATCCTTAGGTCCTCAGTCCTTTGCTTAGTCCTTAGGTCCACAGTCCTTGCATTTCTGAGGCACCATGCACCTTTCCAAGGCCTCAGGGGGCTTCATTTGGAAATCAAATGGGGCAGGGGAGGCCTGGCATTCTCACAATCCCAGCTTGGTGCAGTAGTAGCCATATTTAGAGACTTGGCAAATCTTTCGATGTGCCTTGAGGGAAGAGAAAGGACAGGTGCAGTCCCCAGTGATTTTACACAGGGTGATTCCTTTGGAACAGTCTCCAACCATGGAAAGATGAAGAACCCTCATTAAACTTCTGTCCTTGGACTAAAGAGTGCCCTGTGATGCCTATAGGCAATCCTTGATTGGATAAATCAATACCAAGGAAAAATTAGAAAGAAAAAAGGCATTTATATAATCTTGGGCAATAATGACCATTTTTTTTAACATTTTACTTTTTGTCCTTTTAAACATGGTGTATGTTCTTTTTGGGCACTTGGCTCAGTTATTTAATATATCTTGAAAATCTTATCAACAGTACTTTTAAGACACTGTTCTTTCGTGGATGTATAAAATACCAACAGATAGAAGATACATGGATTATCTAATTATATATAACAGATTTCTCTATATTGTCCATCATTTTACAAAATGGCAAGTGACTCTGAATGTAAAAAAATATTTGGCCCGAGTCTGGTCACAGTTAGAAATGATACTTGATGCTCATACTGGAAGCCACTACTCACCTCTGTGAGACGTCTCAAAGCCACTTTGCCGTAAAATGTGGTCTTTTACAACTAATTGATTAATGAGGATTTGGATCTAATTCAGAGTTCTACTCATATGCCACTTCCTCTAAGATGTGGCCAACAGACTCCGGGGCCAGAGCCCTCCAGGGCTGATGCTGAGTGACAACTGGAAAGGGCAACTTCATGACTCAGTTTCCTTGGTCCCCAGGGTGCCAACACAAGCGCTCCACCCTGAACAAGCAGTCGTTGGAAATACATCCTTGTAACTCAAAGAAAAATAGATTCTTGCCAACTATAAATAGGAGTTCTAAAATAGATTTTTGTCTCTGAATATGAAATTTCCCTATCCTATGAGTTTCTGACTCATTGTTTAGGGAAATGGGCAAATGAGCGGGCTATTCTTAGTATGTAATAGTAAATGGTATCTGCCTGCAGGCAGGGTTCCAAGAAGCCCCTGAGATTCTTGGCACCTGGCCTCAAGGGTTCTTGTCCCAGACTGGGTAAGATGAAACATTATTCCTGGGGTTAGGTTAGTAATCAGTGGTCTTTAAGTTAACAAAACATTGGTATCCAGAGTGACTAACTGAATAGAGGCGATACTATAGAAAGGATGCAACCCTTCCGTAAGAGATGACCTCCACTGGCCTTGAGAGGATGGAGTGGCCAGTGAGCGCAGAGGGTAGGCTGAGCCTCAGAAGACTGCTACCCTGAAGCCTTTGGTTCTGTTCTATACTCTCACCAGCTTCCTGTGAAGAAGCTCTCAGCAAATGATTATGACGTGAGTTTGGTTTGGTGAGGCCCCCTGGGGAGAGGTCTACAGCAAGGCCACTGAGGACCCAGCAGACCGTGGACCCTCCAACAACCTGAAGGCCTCCGAGCAAACTCCCAGGAGCTTTGGTTTCCAGGCTAGCCAGGATGAGATCACCAGGTGAGACCTCCATCCTCGGCAAATGGATTTACCCCATCGGCGTGCTCGGCAGGCTGGAGCCAACCATCACACAGACGTCTTTCATGTCTGAGGTCGTGTGAATGTGACCTGGATAAGGAGTGGGCACATTGTCTATTAAGCAGTACCCCCGTTTTACACCGCTTTCCCATAGCTTCCTCTGACACTCCCCCTGCCCCAAGTTCAGATGGAATATGGCATGTCTGCCACAGGCACTGAGGTCATCATGCAGGAGGCGCCCTGGGACCCCTCAGCCTCTCCTCCCATGGT